AGCAGCATCATAGGAGCAGAAAGGCTGACATTTCGGGCCTAGACCCGGAAGGGTCAGCCTTTCTGCTCCTATGATGCTGCTTGGCCTGCTGTGTTCATCCAGCTCTGCACCTTGTTGTCTTGAATTAAAATTCCCATTTCTTCCAAAGACGTTGGAGCTAAAGATGGATCCAGCCTGGGGTGTTTATGACTGGCTCCCACAAATACAGGTTTCTAGGCAAGAGGAGGAATATAACAGTAGCAGTCTCAAGCACTGTCTGATGTCTGTATCTCTCAGTGATTACTAAGGTATAATTCATCTCTGCAATTCCTTAAAGCATAGGAGGCTACAGGTTAACCTTATACAGCTTTATAGAATCATGAGGGGCATGGATAGGGTGAATAGCTAAGGTCTTTTCCCCAGGGTAAGGGAGTCCAAAACTTGAGGGCACAGGTTTAAGGTGAGGGGCTGAGATTTAACAGGGACCTAAAGGGGAAAGTTTTTCACGCAGAGGGTGGTGCGTGTATGCAACCAGCTGCCAGAGGAAATGGTGGAGGCTGGTACAGTCACAACATTTAAGAGGCATTTGGAAAGGTAAATGGATAGGAAAGGTTAGATGGATATGTGCCAAATGCAGGCAAATGGCACTAGTTCAGTTTAGGGAAGGGGTTCTATGGATTCTATGGTCGGTATGGACGAGTTGGACCAAAGGGCCTTTTTCCGTGCTGTATGACTCCATGGTTTTACTTCAAAAAAGTATACAGTGAATGTTGGTGTCACAATGTCAGTTCACAGAAGAGTTACAGTGCAGAATGAGGCCACTCGGCCCATTTTGTCGGCACTGGCTCTTGAATTGTGTACTATTACCTACTGCCAATTTCTTGCTTTCTCCCCATACCTTTGCACGTTATTTCCATTTAAGTAATCACACAATAGCCCCTTAATAGAAACATTGAAACAGGCAGTAGGCCATTCAGCCCTTCCAACTACTCAGCATGATCATGGCTGATTATCCAATTCTGTACCCTGTTCCCACATCATCTCCATACCCTTTGTTCCCTTTAGCCCTAAGATGCACAGAATCATAGAATAGAATCCCCACAGTGTGGAAACAGGCTCTTCGGCCCAACAAGTCCACACTGACCCTTGGAGCATCCCACCCAGACTCATCCCCCTATAACCAACCTGAGCTATACATCCCTGAACACTACAGGTAATTTAGCCTGGCCAATCCTCCTAACCTGCACATCTTTGGACAGTGGGAGGAAACCAGAGTACCTGGAGGAAGCCCACGCAGACACAGGGAGAATGTGCAAACTCCACACACACAGTCACCCGAGGGTGGAATTGAACCGAAGTCCCTGGTGCTGTGAGGCAGCAGTGCTAACCACTGAGCCACCGTGCGAATTATAAAATCAGGCAGTCCAGAAGATGCTGTTCAGCCCATTACATTGTGCCAAGAGAAAAGCTACTCCAAATCATAATGTTCCCTCAAAACATTTAATGCTTTAGCCTCAACCACTTTCTGTGGCAGAGAATTCCACAGGCTCACCATTCCCTGGGTGAAGATATTTCTCCTAATCTCAGTCCCAAATGGCCAACTCTTGATCCTCAGAAGGTGATCCCTGATTTTAGATTCCCCCCAGTCATCATGAAAGTCTTTCCTGTGTTTACCCTGTCTGGTCATGTTAGAATTTTATAGGTTTCTATGAGATCCCCCTCATTAATATGAACTCCAATGCATATAGTCTTAACTGATCCAGTCTCTCTTCATACATCAGTCTGGGAAATCTTTGTTGCACCCCCTCCATTGCCAGAACATCCTTACTCAGATAAGGAGACCAAAACTGCACACAACACACCCAGTGTGGTCTCATCAATGTCTTATACAAGACAGCCCTGCTCCTGTACTTGAATCCCCTTGCGATGAAGACCAAAATACCATTTGCCTTCTCCACCACCTGCTGTATTTGCACACTTTCTGTGACTGGGTTCCAAGGACACCCAGTCTCATTGCACCTCCTTTTCCTAAACTGACGTCATTCAGATGATAATCC